CAGAGAGAGAGGGAGACAGAGAATCCAAAGCAGGCTCCAGGCTCTGAGCTGTCAGCACAGAGCCTGACACAGGGCTTGAAATTAAGAGCTGCAAAAAACTTAAGACCTGAGCCGAAGTCCAATGCTCAACCAACTGAGCCACCCAGGCACCTCTATTTAGGTTATTATTTTGGTGTGGATATTATCTATCACTCTGATGCTCAGAAGGAGGGCAAGAAGACAGGGATTTCAGCCCTGAAATCCTCATGTGTTCCCATGCTGATGGGGGAAGAAATCTTAGTTCTCTGTAAGTACATTGCTACTGTGATATGCTTTGACATGACCCTGTACCCAAGGACACTCTGGCCACACCCTTCAGACCCAGTGAGGCTGAAGACAGTCAGACACCAGACTGTAACATTACCACCTCGTAAGTTTCTTGTGCTGCTTTTAGAAAAATGATGAAGATGCAAGTTTAAGGTGCCTAGACTGTCAGCTGCGGATGACGGTTTTTGCAGAGAGGAGAGGAGGTTTCTATTCTTCTCTATCGCTTGGGGACTGTATTGTGTTTGCTTCCCTAATTGGTAGTTTTGTGTACTTGCGAGATGATTGCATTGAGGTGGTTTGACTTCAGGTCGGAGTGCAGCACAACAAAAAACCTCTTTGCAATGAAAACACCACTTGGCCTTTGCCTGAGAAGCCGTGCGCATTAAGCTGTACATGACAGAGCAGAAGAGGGACATTTGGAACTTTTGTCCCCAGCCTGTAGGGTGCATCTATGTTGTAGACATGCCCACACTTCCTGAATGGGGACCTAATGGAGGCTGAAGCCTCTGATACCCGCCAGGGCCGTTCTTCTGCAAGTGTCTCACTGTGCTGGTAGGAGACGGCATTAAGTTACAGTGACGTGTCTGGCAGACATGAGCATCACCGGGGTGTCGTGTTAAGGACACAAAGCAATGGAAATGGATACCGCAGGCATTCATGTAAAATTCATTTATTTTTTTAATTCTTACACCAAAGCTGTATTTTCCAATAATCTCCAAATTGAATTTTTATTAAATTGCTCACATAATGAACTGGAGATAATCCTTTACCTGTAGATGGTTTACATTTTGCCCAGTAACTGGCGGGAATGCGATCTTAGAGGGAAATGTTTACCATATTCACAAAAACAATATTCTCCAGCCTTTTAAAAATCACTTTTTGAATGATTAAAATCTAATGCCAGGAGGGAGAGAGGGAAATAGGGGTAGTATGAAAAATGTAGGGATTTCAACTCTACAGCTGATGTTTTATTTTAAAAAATAAAGTGATTAGAAAGCTGGGCAGTAAGTACTTTGGTGTTTATTCTGTATATTTGTCTCTAAGCTTAAATGCTTTATAATAAAATCATTTTGAAGCACGCTTTGCATAGCATTAGAGAATTTCAGGAAGTAATAGAACCATTATAATTTGTTTTTGTTACAAATTTTCAACTTGACAGCATTGAATAAATGCTCATTAGTTTGTATTGCTGTATATATGTCTTTTTTTATTATAAAATATAGTATGCATTAGTTTTTTTTTAATCTAAAAATATTTTAGTGTTTGTTTTTTGAGAGAGAGACAGAATGTGAGTAGGGGAGGGGCAGGAGAGAGGGAGACACAGGATTCGAAGCAGGCTCCAGGCTCTGAGCTGTCAACACAGAGCCCAAAGCAGGGCTTGAACTCACAAACCACAAGATCATGACCATAAGTCGGTCGCTTAACTGACTGAGCTACCCAGGCACCTCTATTATGCTTTAGATTCTTAATCAGCTTAATCTGGCTTTTGCCTTCATTACTTTATATTGGGTAAATCTTACTTTTTGATGTCCAGTTAAAGAGAAACTAAAATATGGAAGACAAGATGTTCAGCAGCATAGTTAACAAATGGCTTCTGTTCCCTGGGGGGCTAGGGAGATGCCCTGTAGACTTGCTCAGAGAGATGCCACTTACCATTTCCTTCTCATCTGGCTCTCTCGCCTGCTGGTGGAGGTTCCAGCCTTTTATTCAAATTAGCGTGGCTGAGCTTCTGTTAGCTTCTGTCACCAAGCACACTTGAGCAACGGCCATGCTCATGCGGGAACACGCCCATGGCTGTGGCCACCACACATGGGAGGTGATCTGCTCAATGATGCCCCCTTGAAGATTCTCATCCCCAGACTCTCCTTGCAAATAAGTTCCATGGGAGAAGGGACTTTGCAGGTGTGATTAAGGTAGAGCCTTGAGATGGGGAGATGACACTGGATTGTCTGGGTAGTCAGATCTAATCACAATGATACTAAGAAGGTCGTGGGAAGGTCAGAGTCAGAAGGACATGTGGCCAAGGAGGCAGAGGCTGGCATGACTGGCTCATGAGTCCAGACCTGGGAGTGGCCTCCAGAAACTAGAAAAAGTAATGAACAGTCTCCCTTAGAGCCTCCAGAAGGAGTATAACCCTATCAGTGCCTCGACTTCAGCCCAGTGAGAGTGGTTTTTGACTGCTGACCACTGGAAGCCTAACATGATGAATCTGTGTCGTTGTTGCTAAGTTCTGGCTGATTTCTTACAGAGCCATACAGAGCTAATATAGAGGAGCTTATACTTGAGAAAGGTGAGCCAGGGCTTCAGAGAGGACTAAGACCTCTTCCCAGTCGGAAGTAACAGGGCTCCCTGGGAACAAGGGTGACATCCTCGACAGTGCTGGCTTTGAGTCAGACTGCCTGAGTAACAATCCTGGCACCACCATTTATTAGCAGTGTCGTCTTGAATAAGAGGGCCTCTGTCTGCCTTTGTTCTCTCATCTGTAAAATGGGAATGATAAGAGAACTTGCTTCAGAAGCTTGTAAAGAGGCTAACTGACCTAATCCATACAGAGAGTTTGCATAGCACCTGGCACAGAGCAGGGGTGCTATAAAGTTGCTTATTATTACACAAGCCTTCAGCTATTTCAAAGGCTTTGCTATGTGTTTGTGGTTGCTGAATTTTATTAGCTTATTTAGTAAGGTACTCTTTTCTTTCAGGAACCACATGAATTATGCATGCCTCCCACATATGAATCTAAAAGAAGTACCCACTCGTTCTGGGGACAGTGACATTGTAGCTAAATGCATGGTTCTTGACCTGATGGGGTCTTTGTTTTCTTTTAATAGGGGCACAAAAAATATATACATGGTTTTTTTTGTGTGTGTAAAAAACAGGTCTTTTTCTTGCAATGAAATACATTCATGATTACCCGTTTAGGTCTTAATTTAGAGAGCCCTTAGGTTTGTGTTCTTTGCCTATCCTTGGGTTCACAGTAGGAGGATTTTCCTAAAATATCAGCAGTCTTCTCAGGGTAAGGAGGACTACCTGCAGTGATTAGGGGCAGGATGCATTCAGGGTCACTATGGCTTTAAAGTTAGAAAACTTTAAATGACTTTAAACTTTAAATGTAGAAAACTTCACAGATCATGACCAGCAATTGGTTCATGGCATGGTGATCACACTGTGGAAGGCGGTCAGCTCACTCAAATTCTGTCTGTTCACATCTTCTGCCCATTAAAAAAAATTTTATGTTTATTTTATGTTTGAGAGACAGAGACAGAGCACAAGTCAGGGAGGGGCAGAGAGAGAGGGAGACACAGGATCTGAAGCAGGCTCCAGGCTCTGAACTGTCAGCACAGAGCCCGACCCAGGGCTTGAACTCACGGACCATGAGATCATGACCTAGTTGAAGTCAGTGCTCAACTAACAGTCACCTAGGCATCTTCTGCCCATTTTTTAATTAGATGATTTGGTATTTAGGGGTGTTGAGTTGTGGAAGTTCTTAATATATTTTGGATACTAATCTTTTATCAGATATATCATTTGCAAATATCCTCTCATTCAGTAGGTTGCCTTTTAGTTTTGTTGGCTGTTTTCTTTGCTGTGCAGAAACTTTTTATTTTGATGAAATCCCAGTAGTTTATTTTTGCTTTTATTTCTGTTGCCTCAGGAGACATATCTAGAAAAATGTTGCTGCAGTCGATGTCTAGTATCTGTGTCTCTTTCGATGGAACCTACAATGAGCTGTCATTGAGGTCATACTGAATTTCTCTCTGTAGTGGCCATTTGAGGTGGTCAGAGAGGAGCTTCTGCACATGGTGAGGCAAGAAGGCAATAAAGAGTAGGGCGTGTTGGGGAAATTATAGTTGAGCCTTATGGTGTATACTGGGTGGCCAGGGTGTGTGGGAGGTGACACTGGAATTGTCCACTGAGGGAGGAGTGGGAAGAGCTTTGGACGTCCAACTTGGGAGCATGAACCTAACCCTAAATCCCTTCCCTTACCAGAGAATGCACAGGTGCTCTATTAAAATGGATATAGTCTGAGAGGAAATAAAGGCTCTGTAGTCGCAGAGTTTTTGAAATATTGGAGAAAACAAAAAAGGGCCTCTTTCCTCCAAGAGTTCCCTGAGCCTATAAATACATTGTGAATTTTCTAGAAGTACATACCATAGATAAGTAGAAATGAGACTCAAAACTAAGGCTTTGGGATAAAAAAAGAGAGAGTCCAAGAGATATTCAGGTTGAGAGGTAGAAAACAATTGGTGACCAATTAGGTGGTGGAGTGCGGCGGGGGGGCACTGAGGAGATATGTCAGGGGCGAGAAGGCCAAGGACACTACAGTTTGAAGTTTAGGATTTTAGGTAACACCTTAGCATTTTAGGCACTGGAGGGATGGAGAAGACGAAACTGGTTTTGTAGGAAGACAACAGGTTTTGAATTGATCGTGGACTTGTTGTGACCCTGGCAGGTGCCCACACCCCTAGACTACAAAGCTGGACAGAGCTGAGACGGTCAAGCCATAGGTGCTGATGACGACGTCCAGAGACAGTGGGGCTCCGATGGTGCACATCACATTCACTGACAACAACTGATCAATACCTCTATAGTGACGGTAGAAGGGTAGAGCCGCCACTGAGCCCTTAATTGCTGACTCTCATTTTCTGATTAGGATCCTTGTCATGTTTCAGCAGGAGCTGTATCTTTTCTTGCAGAATCACTGCCTGTGCAATGACTATGAATAAGTATGTGGAGGAAAACGTATCTCAAAAGTCCTACACGACCATCAAGTATTTCATGAAGATGCTGAGCAGCGTCAGTGAGACCCTGATCTTCATCTTCATGGGCGTGTCCACTGTTGGAAAGAACCATGAGTGGAACTGGGCCTTCGTGTGCTTCACGCTTGCCTTCTGTCTCATCTGGAGAGCTCTGGGTAATGGTGTTTGGTCTGCAAATGAGTGTTCAGATGAATGGGGCTTGCTTCTTCTTGCCCCTCCCTTTGACTGCTGCTACTTCCTCTTTTCCTTATCTTCTTCCAGCCCTCTCCTCCTCCTCTTCCCCATGCCTAATAGATTCTTTTCATCCCCAAGTACCTTCATGGCTGTGCTGTAAGTCAGACTAACCTCTTGGGGCCTCTCTGAGTCCGCATTTTCAGCTGCTATCCTGGAACAATGAGTGGGTGTGCCTGAGAGCAGAGGTGAAGGGGAAGATGGTGGGGCTTGTTCGATTCCAAACTCTGCCCGTGTGTCACAGAAGTGTAGAAAATGAATCTTATTGGTTTCACGTTCTGGCCTCACACAGTCTGCTCTCTTTGGTTTTGCTTTTCGTTCTCAGGTGTCTTTGTCCTGACTCAGGTCATTAACTGGTTCCGGACGATCCCCTTGACCTTTAAGGATCAGTTCATCATTGCCTATGGAGGGCTCCGAGGCGCCATCTGCTTTGCGCTTGTGTTCCTCCTACCTGCTGCTGTGTTTCCTCGGAAAAAGCTGTTCATCACAGCTGCGATCGTTGTCATATTCTTTACGGTCTTCATCCTGGTGAGTAAGTTTCTTTGTCCCAGCAAAGTCTCTCTGGTTACCGAGAGAAGAGACCAGATCTTTCAGGCTCTCATAATGAATTCCTTTTCGCAGGATACAAAGTGGCAAAGGAGCTTTGGTAGTTATGATGTTAGGGAAAATGCTCTTTCCTCATGTCACCTAATTGTTCAGGGCCCCAGGAGAATCCAGTTCGTTCGCTTGGCCCCCATGCAGGGATTCTTATTTAAGGAAACTCAGCTAAGTGATCTAAGCTTACTACTGGAAACTGATGAACTGAGCTTGCTAATCCTTGTCATTTGTCTTACTCTCTGACCCAGTAAATGTGCTCGTTAAATGCTGCTTGTGTGATGACCTTCCAACAGCAATTTGACATTAGTTGACTGCACAGCAGTGTGTCCCTTGAAGTGATGGGCTGTGTGAATACATGGCTAGTATTGGGCGGCAGAGAGTGTGGTAGGAAGAACGTGGGCCTATGTTAGGATCCAGACATGGCCACCCAATCTCTTTAAGTTAATGAGCCAACCCGTAGGAGATTACATTTCGCAGATACTCACTTAGTAAATACGTACTGGACTCCTGCTATGTGCCAGATGGAGCTCTGGGGGCTTAGGATCCATGAGTGAACAAAACACAGAAATATCTCTGTTCTTGTGAACTTACATCCCAGAGGGGATGGCAGAAACTAGACATGGCAAGTGAGTAAATTATAGAGTATATAAGAAGGTAAAAGTTGCTCTATAATAAGAAGTAAGGGCTTAGACATGGTGAGGGTGGAGTGATAATTGAGGGGAGGGTTGCAGTTCTTCTTAAAATTTTTTGTTAATGTTTATTTATTTTGAGAGAGAGAGAGAGAGAGAGAGAGAGCAAGAGGCAGTGTAAATATGGCGGAGACAGAGAAAGAGGAAAGAGAGAATCCCAGTCAGGCTCCACACTGTCAGCACAGAACCGATTTGGGGCCCAAACTCATGAAACCATGAGATCATGACCTGAACCAAGATCAAGAATCAGACGCTTCACCAACTGAGCCACCCAGGCGCCCCAAGGGAGTTAAAGTTCTAAACATAGTAGTCATGGAAGGCAACAATGAAAAAATGACATTAGGATCAAAGGGGTGTAAGGGGCGAAGGAATTAGCTAAGCTGAAGAACATTCCCAGCAGATAGGACCATAGATCTGCAGGCAATGGCTTCCTGGCCAGGGTGGCTGGAGGGATGGTGGATGAACATGGTGAGGGAGACTTCACAGAGGACATCAGGGCTTTTGATGTGAGTGTCTAGGAGGACGGACTCGCTCTTAAGTGAGGAAGGAAGGGTGTGAGTAGAAGGGGTTGGACTTGATTACAAGCATGCTGGGTTAGGGGTGCTGAGTAGACCTATGGGCAGAGGGATGAGCAGGCAGGGTACTGAGCCCGGGGTTCAGAAGACAGCTGTGTCATCTGCAGAGGGCTGGTGTTGGAAGCCGTGACATTGGACATGGCTGCCAAAGGAGTGAAAATTTGTATCGAGGAAGCCAATACATGGGACCGGTGTCTGGGGAAGCCCAACTTTAAGACACTGGGGAGAGGAGGGAGGCAGCCAAGGACGCTGAGGACAAGTGACAATGACAAAGGGGGAAAACCAGGAGGTACTTTTTTAAAAAAATCTTGTTCAGCCATTCATCACAGAGTGCTTCCTAGCTGCCTCATTCAGGTCTGAGCTCTTCTTAGAGTATCTCCTTTGATCCTGAAAATAATTCTGTGGCACAAAACTCTAGGACTCACTGTTACTAACCCCATATGACAGTTGAGGAAACTGAGACACAGAGCCCATGCTTAAGTCCCTTTCCCAAATTTACACGGATAGTAAAAGGTGGAGCAGAGACCAATTTGGTCTTGACTCCAAATAAAGTACATAATAAGCGTTCACTACTGTAACTCCCTGTGCTCCTTTTCCTTTCACTCCAAAAAGCAGTTCTTCCTTCATCCATTCATACCTCCCAATGCTGGGAGCAGCGGGTTATCCTATCTGAAGAAACTTGGAGAAGAATGCCTTGGGCAACCCTTTTCTAAGTCCAGAAGTAGCCACTTTTTGTTACCATCATTGTCCTCAGCACCTTCTCACTGCTGGTACCCATCCGTGATCCTGTGTCAGGCATTCAGACAAGGACTTTCCCCGATGTATTCTCTCATTTCATCTGCACAACACACCTTTGAGCATGAGCCCCGTGAGGCTGAAAGAGAGAAAGGAGACTGACCCAAGGACACACGTAGGTGAATGACAGAAGCTGAGGTTAAGCCTAGGACTCTGACCCCATAGACGAGCTCTTCTTCCATTGACTTCAGCCAAAGAAGACATCATCTACTGGATTATGATTCATAACAGCTTCAGTTATAGTTATACGTACCAGTTGTGGTTCAAATACCCAGTGTTGGCCTGAGTCGCCTTCTTATACTCAGTGAGTCACCTGGGGGTATAGAGAAGCCAGCTGTCCTTGTCTGTATCTTTTTACTGTGGTGTTTACAGGATCCTTGTAAAAAGTCATCCAATTTGCTACTCCCACGCGTTACCTGAGGCAAAATTGTGCATTGAATCCATTTTGCCTTGAGCGTTTTAGTCTCTCAGGAACAAGGCTGGGGCGACGGGCTTGAGGGGAAAATCAGGCAGGAGTGAGTGACTCACTGCCTCTCCTAGTCCAGCTGCCGGGTCCTTAGCACTCCCAGCGAGCCCTGCCAAGGCTTAGTCAGGGCTCTGGACTCCTCCTTGCTCTCAGAACTGAAGGTGTCAAATACAAAAATAGAACCGTGTCAGTCCAGCGTAACTAAGAACTAGGTCATTTGGAGATGAATATATCAGCAGCTATTACCTACACGAGGGCTTCTCAAATATCTACAGTGCAGAGCCAGCTCCCTCCCCCCAATATCATGGGCACATGCTTTTGTAAAATATAATAAAAATGATGAAAGGGCACCTGGGTGGTTGGGTAGTTGAGTGTCCAACTTCTGCTCAGGTTATGATCTCACAGTTTGAGAGTTCGAGCCCCAATCGGGCTTGCTGCTGTCAAAGCAATACAGGCTCTGGATCCTCTGCCTCATTCACTATCTGCTTCTCTCTCTCTCTCTCTCTCTCTCCCTCTCTCTCAAATGAATAAACATTTTTTAAAAAATGACTAAATAGGGAGACATAATTCAGGAGAGGACATACAAACTACAACCTCAAATTTTTTAGTGATTAGATTCAACAGGCATAAGATTGCATTTCTACAGCCAGAACAAATCTAACATAGGGAAAAGGAAAGTATTACAAAAAAGTATACAATTATTCAATGAATGTATGTGTATAGGTGATGAATATAGAGTGTCACTATTATGCTCATAATATCTTGGCTTTTTGCAATTGTAAATCAACCAAAAGCTACAGGTGAACTTCACATTCCCCATATTCAAAGTCTACACACCCAGTTTGAATGAATAGCACGTATATCAAGATTTAACTGCAATTAACAGAATTTTGGATGTGACAAATGAAAAAACACAGGCCACAAACAGAATAGTTTAGATGTATTGACTGTATTGGGTAGTTTAGGTATATCAAATTAACCCTTCAGTGATGGGGTCAGTATTTAGAGTCTGTAAGCATACCCCATGCATAGTCTTCTCTGATTGGGTTTAAGGATTACCTGGCAGAGCTCTCTATGATGTTGTGAGGAAGAGGAATTTCTGTAGTTCCGTGCATACTATAATCTTCTTGTCACTGTTGTCTGTCCACCCTTTTGTGTGCACAGATTGGAGACCAATGGATCTGGCTATTTAAAAAAAAAATTTTTTTTAATGTTTATTCATATTTGAGAGGGGGCGTGAGGGGCAGAGAGAGAAGGAGACAGAAACCGAAGCAGACTCCAGGCTCTGAGCTGTCAGCACAGAGCCCGATGCAGGGCTTGAACCTACAAACCATGAGATCATGACCTGAGCCAAAGTCGGATGCTTAACCGACTGAACCACCCAGGCACCGCTGGATCTAACTCTTACGAGACTCTGGGTTATGAGCACACACCTGCACACACACCCAAATGCACACACACTTCCTTCAGAAAGGGTATTTTTTTTCCCAGAATCCACCAATAATTAAGGAACTCAGGGGGCGCCTGGGTGGCTTAGTCAGTTAAGCATCCGACTTCCAGTTGGGTCATGATCTCACGGCTTGTGGGTTCGAGCCCCGCGTCGGGCTCTGTGCTGACTGCCAGCTCAGAGCTTGGAGCCTGTTTCAGTCTGTGACTCCCTCTCTCTTTGACCCTCCCCTGCTCACGCTGTCTCTCTCTCTCTCCTAGAAATAAATAAAAATATTAAAAAAAAAAAAAAAAGGAACTCAGGGAAAGAAGCTTGGAAGAAAATACTTAAATAGGCTATAAACATACCAGAAATAATTATAACCTATGCATCAAATTTTGCCTTCTGATTAAGGGCTATGCATCCTTTTTCAAATGACAACTTTTATGTTGGTGGATCTATCATGAAACTTCAAAATGCCTTTCCCCTTATTTCATTATTTCTTACCTGATGAGCTCTTCCCTCCCAACACTGTTGAGTTATTAGCACTATATTCTAAAATAGAATTCCATGTGACATATGATTTATTGTTTGACACCTAGATTTATAATGAGAATTTTAGCGTTCCTGTCATCATGTTGATAATTGGAGAGTGTAGCCCTTTATGAAGCACATTAACATGTTTCCAGAATACAGTCTTGCTTGTCAAATATTGAATGAGTAAACAATCTGATCCCTTGGGCATGTGAATTCATTTTCTTTTAGATGAGATTGGTAATGATACATAAAATATAAGCTGTCTCTCGTTTTAAAATTATATTCAAGGTTGGGGGCAAGGTAGAGTCCAATAATTGAAAGCACGGATGTTGGAGTAAGGCTGTCCTGAGTTGAGATTCTGATTGATATCTGATAGTTAATGTCCAGAATAGCCTCTGTGAACTGCTGTGTACTTAGTGTAAGATCTGGAGAATAGTACTTTC